ATACAACAATGCGTTTGCCAGTTTTTGAGTGAACTGTGCGCATGGCTAGATTCAAACTTTTAACTGCTAGAATGGTTAAATGCAAGTACTGTAAGGCAGGTGGCAGGATGCCATCCCTCAAAGCAGTATAAGAGTGTAACATCCAGCAGATGTCGTGTTGCCTTTCACCGTAGTTGCATATTCAAAAACATTTGAAGCTAGCGTTGCTTGGGATGGCGCCAACGCCTGCTGAAGCCGCCAGGTGTGCCACGACGATGAGATCTGAATTGGTGGCTCTAGTGGCAGATTGGAGATTCAGGTGAGGAAGTTTCATGTTCTCGCGCCCATCTGGCATTTTTTCAGCCATGGAGGATTACTAAAACTATCACTGTTCGCAGTCATCTTCCTCTTTGTCTAAGAAGTCGGTGTTGAGCGATTCGAGTATGACGCAGCTGCCTGCACAAGACGGTGGCGGAGTGGACAAGGTAAAGTAGCATGGCACTGTCGCTGGTTGTGTGTTCTGGTACATACTTTTTTCATTGAAACAGATGACCTTGATGCATTTTCAGGGAGAGGTTATCCAAAGAGATTGCTGTGGGATTATCGTGTTCAAGATGATGGCACAAGTTTACAGAGAAGAAGGATACGGCAACCACGATACTGCAACTATGCAGAACGCAACGGCGGTGACAATGATGTGGACCACGGATCTCACGTAGCGGGTGCGGTGGAAGATACTGAATCAGCTGAAGAGGAGGAAGTGAGCAGCAGGGGTCCTAAGCTACGCCGTACGCAGGCGTAGTATGAAATGGAAGCATGAATTCGTAACAACGTATGTTTTTTTTTTAAGTTCAGATATACTATTACTTAACTAACCAAGTACAGGGACCTCGTCTGCTACAATACCCAGAATACAATCTGGAGGATAGTTTAGCCGCTCCCTACAAACTTTATTACAAACTCCCTCTCTTGCTAAATAATGAGCTGCACTATTAGCAGACCTCCTAACCCAAGTTACATTAAACTCTTGCCTTGTCCTGAGCATTGCTTTTATCTCTTCAATGACCTGTTCAGCAACTGACATGTTTTTACCCGGGTCATTGAGCATCCGTACGACAGCCATACAGTCCATCTCGACATGCAGTTTCTGAAGGTTTAAGTCTATGGCTAATTTAACTGCCCTTTTGCGGGTTAGCAGCTCCGCGTGCTCAGCCGAAGCGAAGGCTGCAAAGGACGCACGTGCACGTGCACGTCATTGAGCGATGCATTTAATACGGGCTCGGGTGGTAGCTGTTTGTGAGTCCGTCGAGTGAACGGCTCAGCCGGGCTCAGAAAAGTTACCGAGCCGTGCAATACTACCTGATCCGCGAGAGATGTGCGACGGGCCGTCGCATTCATTGCGCCGCAGAGCTATCGTCAATACCGTGAAATACAGTAGGGAAATACAGGATGGAGCGCAGATCCCCACGCCAGCTTGCGGTATGGATTTCGGGAGCATCTGAGCCCGAGCTCAGAAACGAATTTTCGCAGATTCTATGGCAACTTCCCATCGTTTCTAAAATATTGGAGAAAATTGACGTTTCTTGATCTATCACACAATAGTTTTTCCGGAAGGTTGCCATTGTGGATCGGAGATTTGGGTGAATTACAATTTCTGCGGCTAAACCAGAATATGTTTTCTGGAGAAATCCCACCTACCATCTCAGATCTTAGTCACCTTCACATTTGAACCTAGCAGGTAATGGCTTATCAGGTGCCATACCGTGGGATCTATCAAATGTGACAGCCATGACAGGAAAGTATGTAAAGGATCCTATGCTTGACTCATATCCTTATGGTGGTTACTCGTATATGTTCTATACATATAATTTTTCCTCAGTGATCGTTAAGGGACGTGAGCTTGATTATGGTATTGGCATTTTGGATTTGGTGAGCGTTGACTTATCTTTGAACCAACTAACTGGGAGAATACCAGAAGAAATAGCTGCTCTTGATGCATTGATGAACTTGAATCTATCGTGCAACCAGTTGAGTGGGAAAATCCCAAATAAGCTTGGGGCCTTGCAGGCTTTGGAATCACTTGACCTCTCAAGTAACATGCTTTCTGGTGGAATCCCTTCGAGCCTGTCAGATATAACCTATTTGAGTTACTTGGACTTGTCTGATAACAATCTCACTGGGAGAATACCATCAGGTCGTCAGCTTGACACCCTCTACACCCAGCAACCTTCCATGTACAGTGGCAACAGTGGTCTATGTGGCCCTCTTCCAAACAGTTGCCCCGGAAAGAATTCAGCAACACAAGATTATCCAAAAATGAACGAGCATTCCTTTGAGCCAATAACCTTTTCTTTTGGACTTGCTCTGGGATCTATTCTGGGTCTCTGGGTGGTGTTCTGCGTCCTGTTGTTTAAGAGAGCATGGAGGATTTCTTATTTCGGCCTGATTGACCAGACATATGATCAGATGTATGTGTTTGCCGTTCTTACATGGAAAAGCTGGGCCAGAAAGGAAGCTACAAATTGAGTAACAAGAGCTCTGAAGAAGCATGAAGCAGCATATTAAGCTGAGATGTTTATTTCCTTTAAGTTAATGTAAAGGTTAATGATGATTTAAATTTTCTATGCATGTATGATAATACTTTTGAACTCTTGTATGATAATGATGATTCTTAATTGTCTATACTGTTCAGTTAATTGTTTGGTCCGTAGCTTCATCGTTCAGAGTTTCACAGTTGGTCACTCTGTTTTTCATGTGCTGCGTATATACTTTCTGTCGAACACACCGTCTTGGTAAGGTGTACAGGGCCACAGGGGTGCTAACACCTACTTTTTTTAGCAGCATGAGGATCCTTTTCCATCGTCGCCTGTTGGTTTGTGCTCGAAGGTGAGTTGGGAGTCTGTTTGTCCTCTAAATGTGTGTGTTTATGTTGTGATTGTATTTGTGTCAGATTACACGCTGTTGTTCATGAAATTTCAAAGAAAGTGTAAGTTATTTCAGAATAGCACAACCAACCTGGGGAACAGCTCTTCTCCCTGTGTGTCTGAAATAGTTATTGAGATGGGTGTGTTGTTATTGTTTGTAAGAGGAGGGTGCAGCAGCAGCAGCAGGATTGACGAGTCCTTACTGGAGAGTAGGATGCATCCTGCAACGCATGGCTCCACTCCACAACTTCCTCAAGGCTAATGGATTCGAATTCAGTTCCTTAAAACTAGAGATGCTAGGTCTCTTATTATTTGTGTGGAATGAGTTCCAGGTGAATCTTGTAGTGCTTCCTGGGGACATCACAAGAGGCCCCATGTAGTATCTACTGTTGTTAGCTAGGAGAACATGTGCTCTGACTGTTGTTAGCTAAGGTTCAGTCTTCTTTAATGGTTTTTCTCCTAAAAAGAATGACTCCACATGGATCCAGATTTGTTGTCGCCAATGGCCGAACAACAAGTTTCAGAAATTCAGCGTTAGGCTTTTGAAGATATAGTATTATCGTTATAGCATCAAATTTAAGATGGTTGAGTGCTAGTATGTTAGGTACCTTGCATTCAGGCGGGAAGTTCGCAACCATTTGTTTGCCCTGTCCCTTGCAACTGGTAGAAGAGCAGGTCAAGCTCCTCCCTTGGCTTTGGGGCATCCTGAAGCTTTTCTTGCCAAGCAAAAAGAAAGCAGAGCCACCATCTGATCTGGAGTAGCATACACTTCAAAGTACCACAGAACATAAGCTCTGTCAATATCAGTTAATCAGCTGAGCGGACCTCACATGCCACTTTACCTTTTTTCACTTGGATAACATCCTTACTGGTGATGTATCTGGAAAAAATAAAGTATGCGCCCGATACAATTCATGAAAAAAAATGGAGATTGACACAACAGCTAAATTATTTATATTCAAGCAGACACAAACAACAAAATCTTTCATAGACCCACCATACAAACTAAACTGCAATTCGTAATCAGTATATAGTATATACACATCTACTCATAGGGGGAGGTTACATTCAGTACTACAGACTATCAGCTGTTCTGCATTTGTTAAATAGTCGTGTTCTGCATTTGTTCTTTCCCATCAGGTGCCCAAGAAGTTCATAAATTGGCTCTACCGCAAATACTTACAGCGGCAATACTTCCTAAGAATTGAAGATTTTGTTTCCAGAAACATTTAATGTTCTGCTGCCAACTTAACTCAATATTCTGTAACGAAGGAAATTAATTTTGCAAGTTCCAAATGAGCAAGCACTCCAAAGCCTAACATTATTGTAGATCCAACATAAGGTGTTACTTCGCATGTGTGAAGCAGTCAGGAACATAATAAACAGTGTTTCTGTAGCATTATGAAAATCTTCCTGTTCTCAAAATATGCATGCACAGATAAAAGCAAGAACAAACACTATTACGAGAGAAGGCAACATTTTGAAATAAAGGTGCTCATTGCAACCAGGGGTATCCATTTTGTTTCATTTTCACGTGAACAGTAGGGAAGGCCTTTACTTTTTCCTTTTTTTAAAGTAACTACGGCACTTGGCTTAGCCGGCGGCCTTACAGGTTATAGCAGGTGAGAAGGCCACCGAATCGGCCACGCCCACAGCCGTGGTGGAGTCGTTTGAGAGCCAGCTGCATGGACGGCCTTTGCTGCGGATCATCGACAGTGCAATCCACACCCAGTCTGAATACGCTCGCCATCTCCTCCATGTACCGTGCTTGATCTGGGATGCCCTTGTCCACAGCAATCTCGAACCATTCCAGCTTCTTTGCCATCAGCTCACTGCAGTTGTCACGAGCCCATATGGCCAACTGACCATCCACCCCATTGGCCACCCGCCCTGTGACGAGCTCCAGCAGCACCACACCAAAGCTGTAAGTGTCTACCTTCTCCGTCAGCTGGCTTGCGGCCCTCCCATATTCTGCAATTAATCATTTATATGACTAGTTAGTAAATAACCACACTAGTTGTAAGATGGAATTAAAAAAAAAGTCAGTACATGAACCGAACCCTCACCGTACCTGGAGCTGCATACCCAAAGTTACCAAACAAAGTCCCCACGATAGGCAATGGTTGGTCGAGCCCGGCCATGTTCATCTGGGCAGCACCAAAACTGGCTATCACGGCCTTGAAATTCTGGTCGAGCAGGATGTTGATAGAGGTGATGTTGTGGTGGACAATCGGTCTATTGCATCCGTGGTGTAAGTGGCAGAGCCCTTGGGCCACGCCAATGGCGATGGCCTTCCTCTGTGGCCAGCTCAGCGGCAGGTCGCCCTCCTCCCGCCGATGCAGCCACTGGTCCAGGCTGCCGTTCACCTGGTACGTGTAAACGAGCATGATTGCATTTTCCCTCTGGATGAAGTGTAGGACATTGACGATGTTGTCGTGACGGATGCTGGCTAAAAGGATCATCTCCGACTTGCAGCGGTTCTCCAGATTACCGTCCACTATTCCGTCCGAGTTCTGGAACTTCTTGACGACCAGCGTGGTCGGGAGACCGATGCCAGCAATGCCCTGAATGTGGACTAGGTAGAGTTGTTCGTCTTCCCCAATCCTTCTGCTAGCCCACATGCTTCTCTGATTATTTTCAGTAAGGCTGTCAACTATGCCTTGATCATTGAGCACAATGGACATCATCTCCACAGGGCGGCTGGTGCGCCGGAGCAGCCGTGATCCAGCCATTTTCAGCAGCCACGTAGCGGGGGAAGAGGTTGGCTTCAAAGGTGCTGAACCTGCACACGTATTTTAAGTATGAGAGATAGAGATGGATGCATCTTTGTACACCTATTTTGAGTTTGAAAGCCAAAAGTTGACAGCCACTAGAAAGGTCAGCAAATCTGAAGAATGTTTGGGCCTTTTGAAATAGTTGAGGAACTTGCTTCAAGCTTTGAGTGAGAGACAACGAGACCTTGGTAATTTTCAGTGTGCACAATGTATTTTGGGCTTTCAGCATGGTTCTTCAAAAATGAAATGATTGAAATGATGGTAAACTTGCTGTAGCCTGCACCTACTGTCACTCTTATGTCTGCAGCAAGACATTCTACTAGGATTCAGCTACTAGTGCAAATACATGATAACATTCAGAAGCTGAATCTCACCTGCTGCTGTAGAGTAGAGAGGAAGCTGTTCAATTTAGTCAGGGCTTGGAACAGGGAGGGAGCAGGGAGGGGGCATCAAATTAGTTGAGGGGAAAAGTAGAGGGAGCGTAGGCGAACGTGTGAAGGAAAGGAATTTGACTGTGGATCACCGGCGGTGGAGATGAAGGCGGACGGAGTTGGAGAAGAAGGCCGCAGTATGTGGCACGGGGGCTCCAAGCGGTGAGGGGTTTGGCTTTGGAAGGTCGACCCGCGGAATTCGTGGTGCCGTCCGGCCATCATGCTGCGGCCGCCTCCCACGACGGGTCAACGGCACTTCACCCTCCTCTCGCTTGCGCAACCACAGCGACGGCGGGCGTCTCCCGCCTCTCTGGCTCCAAATCGGGAGGCATTCCCGCCGACAGACCATGGATGTATGGGTGGAGATTTGGAAGGACGGCCGTTGGCGGCGGCGGCGGCGGCGTTGGAGGTGGCAGTGGGGATCCATTCCATGTCCAGTCCAGATAGGAGATGGCCACAAACAAAAGGAGACCCATGTAGGGGCTGACCAGTGGACCCCATTTTTCTTTAGAGCTTATTAAAGTCAAATATTTCGACAGTTTTTTTTTAGATTTTGATGATTAGGGTAGGTACCAAAGTACTCCATGGGTGTACTGGCTTTTGTGTGAAAGCCACACTATGTGTAAACTATCCACATCTACTCTCTCCGACAAATCAGCCACACTTAATATAAAACAAAGGGAGTACTAGTAGAATCTATTAAATACAATTAGTAGACACTTCCTAAGACATATATTTTCACACAATATAAGCTTAATTGTATATATGCAAATAATTTCTTTATATAGTTGGTCAAAGTTTGCATTGTTCGATATTTTTCTAAAAAAGTACTTCCTCCGTTTCTAAATACTTGTCTTTCTAGGCATTTCAACAAGTGACTACATACGGAGCAAAATGAATGAATCTACACTCTAAAATATGTCTACATACATTCGTATGTAGTAGTCATTTGAAATGTCTAAAAAGATAAGTATTTAGGAACGGAGGGAGTAGTACGCACTAATAAACTAGGAAAAAATGGAGTAGTATTTTAGTACATATAAAAGGGACATCCCCAAGACAAATATATGAACGAGAGGGATTACATGTGTACACCAAAATATGATTTCGTGTAAAAAAAGAGTATTTGTACCTCGGTTCGGAACTCCAGATCAGAGGCCACTGCCGTTCCGTTGCCGCTTGCAAAGAGTATACTATCACTAGTATAGCTAGTCAATCAATCAGGGTGGTAATGGATGGTGTAGTGTACCGTGACCATCCGGGTCGGGCAAGTCTAAATAGGTTGTGCATTAATGGTGTAGTTCGTGATTCACCGACCGTGTACGGTTTTGGGTCACTGATATGTGGGCCAGATTGCAAGTGAGCCCATATGTCAGCCATGACCATCCGGGCCGGGC